GATAATTTTCGCTTCGTGAGATCAGCAGAAAGCAGGGGCAGTTGAATGGGAATTAGTGCCAGCGTTTTCCAACTGGGCCTCAGGCAAACGTATCGTTTTGGAACCCACATCATGGGCAATGCTGGAGTGAAGGAACGCCTTTGCACTTTACATGGAGGAAGATCGTATTTCTTGAGCTGACACACCTACGTTTGCTAGACTGTCGCGATTCCGGCAAGGCCTGCTGCAATCTTTCCGACAACATCTCTAGCTTTTCTTTGCTGAGTGCGGCATCATGTCGGTTGACTCTCGTAAGGTCTAAGCTTCTGAGCCAAAGCAGCTGACAGAGGGAGCACTCATGCAGAGGACACCAGCACAACCAGCACTTGGGTCTCACAAGTCCTCACGGTCTGCTGAGCGATGAATTCACATATACTAGTCATATACTGCAAGAACGGGGTGCTCAAGGCTCCGCCTAATCTGCTTCCGCAATGTGATTCGACATGCTTCTACCTGATTCTACCTCTTTCAGCTCTTTGCTCTGAGACGGGTGGCAGGGCTCGCAGCGCTCAGCAGCTTCAGCGCATTCTCACTAGCCGGCTGCGTGCGCAGCGCATGCTCACCGTGTGAAACCACCGCCACCTGAGACTAGCTGCAGCGCTCGCAGCTTGGGAGCTTGGCTCAGAGCCTCATATTCAACAGCACGTCATTCGCTTGGCCGCGGGCCGTGGAAGGCCAGATTGGTGGTGCTCACTGCAGGGTATAATCTTAATCTATAGCGCATGCACACCAGCGCCATGTGCAAAGCTATCACCCAGAGTTGCATCCGGCAGACGAGGCCTCTTTGGCATCATGTGGCTCGAAGTAGCCTACAGATAAGCACAGCCGGCTCATCCGCGCCAAACAGCTTCTGCCACAGCCGCGGGCCCTGGCTTGCGGTTGAAACATGCTCTGTCGCCCTGATAGCGCCAGGACTGTAAGATTTATAAACGTTTAGGAAGTAGAGTCGTGTGGGGCGTTATGATAAAACCAGGCTCTCGAATCAGCCATAGCCCCTGCCCAGCAAATCCTCGCGAACGCGGCCTTGCAGGGGCAGTAGAAGACCAAATCGATCTGCCGAGCTTCTCTCCTGCAGCGCGCTCGTGCTGCAGTCTCCGCCTGACTCTGAGTACCGAGGCACGGGCATCGGCTGGCTTCATGAGAACCGTGCAGCCTTGCCATTCTTGCCATTGCCCGGGGGAATTGCTAAGAGTGTATACGGCCAGGGAAAGAGTCTGCACAAGTGGCCAGCAAACAAAAGACGCGATGAATCAAGCTAGGGCGCACTCTGCGCCAAAGCCAAAACTCTTGGCGACGAGGCCATGAGATCACCCGACGGCTTTGGCCTGACAAGATCATTCTGTTCAATTCCATAGTTTAGCGGCGGTGCGCCCTGACAAAGGCCTCCTTCCGCAAGCCAGCATCCATGCGCGGGAGCTGGCACTCCGACGCCGACCTTAAATTTCTAGGCTCTAGCGCTACTCATCACAGCTTGTGCGATTGGACGGGCTCGCATCAACCCAGGCTAAGTCGCCTCACCTCATTTCAAGACTGCACGGAGCACTCGTTTTAACAGCGCGCTGCTAAGCTCACAGGGGTTGGGGGGGGCGCAGCCCCCATTTGCAAACACAATGCTCACACGATGTTTTTTCAACTAGTTTCTTGGGCTTCGAAGCACGCTTCCTTTCTGCCTTCCTTGCTTCCTTCCTTTCTTCCTTCCTTTCTTCCTTCCTTGCTTCCTTCCTTTCTTCCTTCCCTCCTTTCTTCATTCCTTCCTTCCTTGTTTTCCTCCTTTTTTCATCCTTCCTTCCTTCCTTTCTTTCCTTCTTTCCTTCTAAAACCTACCAGAAATAACGCTTTCCTATGAAACCACAGAGAAATTACTGTTTTTCGTACGAAAAACCACGAAAATGCATCAAATCCTTTAAACATATGGAGGGAATGGTGGTTTTCTTAGGAGAAGCCAAGAAAAAAAAAGAGCCCCAAAAAAAAAGACCCGAAAAAATAGGCCCTCCGATAAAAACCCTAAATATAAGCGCTGTACATCTGCGCTTTTGGGGGCTTTTGGGGGTTGTGAGGGTTTAGGGTTCAGGGTGGAAGGGTTTAGCGACTACATGCTGTGAAATAACCTCAACTTTTAAGTCGAAAACCAAGATGCCGCCTGACAGGGGGTTGACACTGCGGCCAGGCAGCCAACCCCCAGAATCCCCCAACACCCCGCAAGAAGATACTGAACCAAAATGTCGTCAAATGTCGGAGCACTGCGTCTTTGCTTGGACCGCCCTGCCCCCCGCCCCCCAAGCAAAAAGTCTTGCCGCCCAGCGGCACGGCCCATCTTCTAAAATGCGTGTATAGATTGCGGGCTTTTGTGCCTTAAAATACCTGGTATTGGCGACGTCCTCTTCTACAGAACCACAGCGACAAATGTGCCTGACAATAAACGAATTTATGGATCATCATCCCGTTTTTGAGAGTAATAGGCCAGGAATGAAAATATGATGGCATATACTCAAACGACCTGTCTATGAGTGAGCAATTACAAATCCCACACCAAGTATTGCCGTTTACGGCGTGCTGGAGTCGATTCCTTTGTTTTCTCGAAAGGGCGAAAGCGCGCCCTGCTTTGTACGTGTAGAGAGCGAGCCCCTCCGGAAAATGGTTCTGGGTGTTTCGGCAAACTAGTAGGGTATCGCAACCTGCTTTCGAAAGGGCTCGCGGGAAGAGGCGCAGGCATTGCTGGCCTGCTCTGCCCATGGCTGGCCATGAAGGACAAAAGGAGGGAACCAAAAGCTAGCTCGGAGCACAAAGAACCTAGCAAACCCGAAAGAGGGGCAGGGGCAAAACGTCAAGGGAGGTGGGGCGATGTTGAGTTCAAGAGCAATCTTTGTAATGTGCGGGGATATTGTTCTGTTAAAGGCAATCTGGCCCCCGAAGGGGATAATGGCAATCCGACCCCCGAAGGGGATATTGGCAATCATGCCCCCAAAGGGGGTACTGGCAATCAGGCCCCCGAAGGGCGTAGTGGCAATCTTGTTCCCCGTAGGGATAGTGTCAATCCGACCTCCGCAAGGGATACTGTCAATCAACGAAGCTCCCAAAGAGGGGAGGCAGGCAAGAGAAAGAAGCCTAGAAAGAACTCGTTAGTGGAACCACTTAACACTAAACAAGGACGTCAAGATCGAATGGCCTTCGGAAAAAGAGTCACTAGAGCGCTGCACCATAAGCTTCAAGCAGGGCTGCGGGATTAGTGTCATACTTTGTGCTCGGGATGTTAGGGGTCAACACACAGCGACCTGTGCAACCCAATCATACTTGGAGTTTCTGCGCTGGTGCTGAAATACGGCCCATGCCGTTTTCCACGCTAACCAACGCGCACCCCCTTCGGCGAGCGCGAGCATTAAGGTTTCCATTATGTTACCTTTATTGGTGTGGGCTCGGGATTTGACATACTGAATGGTCATTGGGGGCTTGGAGTTGGGACTTAGTACTATCCTTGAGAACGCCGTATATTGCCGCAACCTGCCAGAAAACTCCATCAAAGAACAGGGAACCAAACCCTGCCGAAGTGGCAACTCCTGCGTTGTTGAAAGGGGGCTGACCCAAAACACAGGCCTTCAAGGTCTGATCATAGTCCAGAAACCAGACGAACTCTTCAGCCAGAGTCTGGAACAAATCCGTGGTCGTTCTGGCCCACGCGCTGTCCAGGAACCACACTAGCAGGTCGCGAGACCACTGCAGCGGTGGAGGGTTGGGCTGTTCATTGCAAGCCTGGTCATATGCTAAGTGGAAGGAAGAGGCCAAGAGCCTGTCCCAGGGAATGAGCTGACAATGCGCTACGTCAAAGTCTAGGGCCCAGGAAGGCAAGTGGTACTTCTTGGTAAGCCGGGGCCCGTGGGACTTCCATACGTGCTTAAAGCACTGGTTCAACCATGACGCAAGGTGAAAAGTTGCTAGAAGGATGTCGTCTGCAAGGGGGCCACACATGTTATAGATGCGATCTTCCATGTTCCATGTGGGGTTGACCCAGGCGGGCTTAGTCGGGCGCGGGAGGGGGATTAGGTGTCCGAGGTCCCCTTCATACATTACGACGACCCAGTGCGCTGCATACTGACTCGCCAAACACCCTCAATTTTGGACTTCATGGCTTGAAGGAGTTGAGTGGTTTCAGGGGCGGCTTCCTGTATGGTGTCGAGCTCATAGAGAAGACGATCCATCATCAAAAGTTCGGCCTTTCTTGGGGTGGGGTCGGAGGACCAGTTGTCTGTAACTTGTTGGGAGGACCAGTACTTGCGATGTTCTCTACAAAACTCACATGCTGGGGAATGTCCTAAGGGTTGGGCGCAAATAACGCCGGCTTCATTGAGGCAGGGGCAGATCAAGGTTCTTAGTGGGGCTGTGTCTTTCCACTGAAAGCCCGGGGGAACTGGGCGCCTACCGCATTCCTGGCAATCAGTATTGAACCCAAGAGCGCATGAACATGTGGAGCAAATGACTACCTGCTGGAGCTTGGAATATCCTTTCTTGCCTTCTTGGTAGGAGTTCTTCGTCTGTTGTTTGGCTCCCTTGTTAGCGGTGGAGCGGGCATCTCCATACAATGGCTGGGACTGCGGCGCAAGCGGTTATACGGGCCAGAGCCCCAACGATCTCCATTGTTGTCGGTATCATTGTTGGGGTCCTTCCAATTTGTGCGATGATCATGGTCTCTTTCTTTCCAATCGCCTTTTGCTTGGGATTTACCGTGTCCCTTCTTGGACTCTTTAGCTGGGTAGCTGGAATACGAATACGAGGTGGCATAATTCTGGGTGAAACGGCCCCATGCGGTTTGGGTCTGCTTGCCCTTACCGGAGGGTCGGGACGTAGGGGAACCCTTTGTGAAATCCTCTGCCACACCATGGTCCTGGAAAGCTTGGGCTGTGAGGGCCGTAAGGCCACCTGCTCCCTGAAACGGCAACATGGGGTGAGACTCTAAGAGGCTCGCAAGCTCAGCGGAAATTCGGACTGGCATGACGGGGTACGTGGAAGTCCTTGTCAAAGGAAGCGCGCTGCGTGGTGGTGCGGTCAATGGTGCCCCTGCGGAGGGCCTGTATCAGCTGTACCGTGTCGTGGAGTCGCTTTGTGAATTTGGAATGCCACTTGACCAGAAACTCGTCATAGTACTTCTCGTGAACCAGCAAAAGACACGTATAACGGCGAGGGTAACGGGGATCCAACACGTAGGCGACCTGGGCCAGAAGCTGCTTGGGCTCTTCGTCTCTTGGAGTCCAGATCTGGAGGGCCTGCCTCCAGGTCTGCAGGTCCGGGGTGTCTGTGCACTCAGCGAGGAGGTCGATTAAGGCGTAAAACGGCTGCATGGCCAGTCTGTCGTCGGTGGGCAAGTCCTGCTCGATTCTGATTTTGCAGTCTGGGATGTCTGGCGACTTCCAATATCTGCGTGTTTGTCGCATGTAGTCTCGAAACTGCTGAGCCTGCATCTCTGTGACAAACTCTACTCGGGCCACCGAGGAGTGCGAAGTAACCATATGGTTGTGGAGGGCCGCGATGTCTGTCCATTGTAGACCAGCTCCGTTGACATAGTGGTACAAGTTGCTGTCCAACGTTTTCTTGTTAAAAAGGGCCGGGAGGTCCAGGAGGAGAACTGTCTTGTTGGCTCGGGCACGTTCCGGTACTTGCAGTTGGGCTGAGTGTCTTTCAGTGGTAATCTGCTGCATGGAAAACTCGGCTTGGACCTGGTTGTAAAAGAGATCACAGCATTGATAAAGCTTGTCCATGTTCGGCAGCATTGACTGCTTGTGGTACTTCATCATTGCCTGCTGCAAGGAGGTATTGTCAGTGACTTCAGGGAGGGGAACGTCCTGCTCATTGCCCGGGCTGAATATTCTCTTCTTCGTAGCAGCCTGCTTGAAATCTCCAGCGGTCGGGTCGTACTTCTCTGTGGCGTTGTGGATGGCAAGAAAATCGTGCGCGCTGTGGCGCTTGACTTCAACTTGTCTTGTAGGGTGGGGGAAGAATAGTTTCTTGGTTCCTGTAGAGCATCCCACTTTTAGTCTGATGGCCAAGAAACTCCAGGTCTCGAGGATCACGACTGCTGATAACGGATCCCTCCTTTAACTTAGCTTTGAAGAAAGCTTGTACAAAGAGGAAGGCGTCTGAAGTGAGTTGCCGAGGTGACAGCATAATCCAACTCGAGAGCTTATTCTGTCAACCAATCTACGAGGCTCTTTAAATATGTTGTGACTCCCACTGCGTATGGGCTGAATCTCCACAGTCAGCTGGCGCTGATGTTGGGAGTTTCTCAGTCGCGGTCGGTCTTCGTTACAGGAGATTGGAGTGGCTTCGATCGGACTGTCCTCAGTTGGGAGATTCTTGCCGCTTTCCGCGTCATCGAGTCCCTCCTGAGGTTTCCGGACTCTCAGACCACCCAAGTGTGGGAGTTTGTAAAGCATGCATTCTGTCACTACAGATATGTATCCCCGCAAGGCATCATGCTCTTTATCAACTGGATGATACCTTCTGGATTCCTGGATCTATGTTGACGTGCTTAATCGACAGCATCGTCAACCTTCTTCGGATGCGATTCACACAAGTTATCATATTTGGGAAGGCTGTGCCTACAAAAGTACTTGGAGACGATTATGTGTGGTCTCATCCTTATGTAGGATGCGACCTTCTTTGTCGAAGTAGCCCCAACCAGCAGAGGTTCCCTTCTTATAGTTCACCTTGCGTAGATCAGTCTCAAACGACAAAGCCTTTGATTTGAGTCTGCCAAAGTCATGAGTAACATGGCTGACAGCCCGGGCGTACTTGTCTGGCTCCGGGAACGGAGACTCGGAAAAATCTCCTCTCATAAGGTCTGCCAACTGAGCTTCCATAGAATACTGCGAGCACGAGTATCCTTGAATGCAGTCTAAGGTCGGCGCATCGGAAAGAGCCCACACCGCTGCATGGTCGACGGTCATCTCCCGAGGAGGGAGATGAGCCGGAGCTGTTCCTATTGCTTCGATCCGCTTCATCTTGAGCTACAAATGGCTGTTCTAGTTGTTGTTTTCGCACCGTGATTAATACGGCGTCCAACTTGCAGAATTAAGTTGGAATGCTTATAATTTATTTTAGTCTAGGCGCCAAAGGGTAATGCTAACTGGGCAAGGTCGTTTTTTGGACGAAACGACCTTGCCCAGTAAAAAAATGACCTTGCCCATGCCCAAAGAACCCCACAACATTAAGAAAACATTTTACTTATAGAACGACCTTGCCCATGCCCAGTAAAACGGCGACCTTGCCCAGTAAAACAGCGACCTTGCCCAGTAAAACGGCGACCTTGCCCAGTAAAACGGCGACTTGCCCAGTAAAACGGCGACCTTGCCCAGTAAAACGGCGACCTTGCCCAGTAAAACGGCGATTTTGCCCAGTAAAACGGCGACCTTCGGGCACACTCCCCTGCCCAGTAAAAATGCTACCTTCGGCCCCGAAGGTCGCCGTTTTACTGGGCAAGGTCGCCGTTTTACTGGGCAAGGTCGTTTTTGGTCAAAAAATCGACCTTGCCCAGTAAAACGGCGACCTTGCCCAGTAACTCCTTAACATTTAAATTATATATGAAAGAGAGGTTTAGGGTTTAGGGTTTAGGGTTTAGGGTTTAGGGTTTAGGGTTTAGGGTTTAGGGTTTAGGGTTTAGGGTTTAGGGTTTAGGGTGCGGAGCTGCAACTGGTATTGTAGAAAGAAGTTAGTGTTGGGTGTTGAAAGGGTCAATGTACCCGGGAATCTCTTTTGGCTCAAGACTGGGCCATGTGCCTGGTAGTAAAAGGTGAGTGCCCTGCGGTTTGGGTTTGTTGTGTGGTTGATCCAGGGAAATCAAGGGATTCTGTTGGGGTTGACTTTTCGGTTTCTCGTCCCCCTTCGGGTTCCCCCCGTAGGTTATGAGCCCAAATTAGGCTTCCTGCGGTATAGGTAAGATTCTACGCTTGTTTGGCGCAATGGACATGTTGCGGCGTCGGTCGGAACCTGGACTGTCATCCGCGGCCAATGAAGCCGAAGAAAATCGTGGTGATGGGGGTGAAGAACGGCAACAAATGGTACAAGCGCTGACAGATGGTAGGGAGGTTGCAATGATACAACCAACGTCTCAGGTGGAAAACGAAGTGGTTCCGGTTCCAGCAGCGAATCCTTTCTGGAGCGAGCGGGCTCATGAAGAAATGAGACTAAGGCAATCAAGGCCAGCAAGTCTCCCTGCGAGCGGAGGGGATAGGAGTGGTGAAGAAACAAGAAGGCCACCGTCGTTGCCAGAACTTCGGGATCGGGAACCGGTTCCAGCTGAGAGGCCATCTTCAGGGTTGATGGGCCAGATGGAAAGAGGGAATATTGGTGAGACACAAGGCGAGGAAGAGCTCATTCCTGATCTGAGCGGTGAAGAACAAGGTGAAGATATGGCGGTGGTAAAGCGTGCGCTGAAAGAGTTGCTTGTGCAAACAAAGGAGCTGGGGAATAGACTGCATCGGGTGGAGGAGAAAAGCTATACCTCTGCTGCATCTGGGTCAGCTTCGAGAGCACGGAGCACTGGAGTGGTGGACGCAAATGCTGCATATCCGTTGGGAATGACTCCAGAGAAGCAGTACCTGCCAGGACAAGTTTTCTACACTGATGGTATGGGTGGCTTCTGGACTGTGTTGCCTGATGGGACATGGCTGCCGATTGAGGGCTACGACCTTCCAAAGGGTTGTGACCTTCAACCCTTGCCTGAGCCCAGGAAAGGGGAGGTTCACGTGGAGGATGAGAAGGAAGTGCCAATGATGCACGTAACTGAAGGGAAGAAACCCTCCAGATTGCCTCCATTGAATTACCCCATGGGAGGTTCTGCAAGTGGTGGATATGCAAGTGGACCACCTGGTTTAACACATGTTCCGATTACTTCCTTGCCGTCAGGCGTTGATGGTTCTGCCGCACTGTTGGGAAATCAGCCCGGTTTTGTCTCAGCTCGGGAAACTTCAATGCAAGAGAACTCAACAGGATCGGGTGGATATACAATGGTGGATGATGTTCCATATCGGTGGAAAATGATTGCTGGGAAGTTGGAATTAGAGAAGGTTCCGCTTACAGCGTTTACGCCCGGAATGGGACATGGACTGCCGCAAGGGCCTGGTGGAAAGGTCAGCTTACCTCCTGGAGCTGTGGTGCCACGTGGGATGCCAAACATTGGTGATAGTTCTGGAACTGAACGTCCGGAGGCTCTTGGGAAGCATGTGATGAGCCTTCCTACTTTGGCAGACTACACACCAAGCAATCCGACGGCACTAGGTGATTGGATCGCAATGATCGAACCAATGTTGTCTTCGCTGACAGATACAGGAAGAGTGTGGTGGCAATCCGTCTATACAAAGGCGTATGAGGCGTACGCCAAATGGTTGAGTGTCTCTCCGCTGGAAAGGTTGGGCATCAAGGCTGAGCTGGAAGGGCTCAAGGGGGTTCGAACTGTGCATGTTTTGTTGGAGCAGAGAGCGGTGTCTTTGCTGCTACAAGCGATTCCGGAGAGATTGAAGACCGAGATCGTTTCCACTCGAATGTTGGGGTCGGTGATGATATTTTACAAGTTGCTGACAGTTTACCAACCAGGTGGAGCAAACGAGCGCAGCACGATGTTAAACTTCTTGGTGCAACCAGCCTCAGCAACCTCGATCTCGGAGGCTATTAAGGGAGTGCGACAATGGGCGCAATGGCGTTCCCGGTTAAGGGAGTTGCGAGCATCTGAGCCGGATGCTACCTTGCTTATCAAGGGATTGGATGCTTTATCATCCGCGTTGCTGGCAAAGCACCCTACGGTGCATTTTAGAGCGGCATCCTTCCGGGAGAAATTGGGGGTGGACTACTCGCCGACCTCTGAAACTGCGACACAACTAGCTGAAATGTTACAAGCAGCGAACTGCTATTGCATAGCGCTGGTGAACAAGAGGTGAAGCAGGACTCGGACGCCAAGAAAAGGGCCAGGTTAAACAAGGCCCAAAAGGGAACTGGTGACGAGACGGAGGAGGGTGACAAAGGCAAAGGAAAAGGAAAAAGGTACAGCGGAGATGGTGAACGTCCTTTCTGTTGGATATATGGGAAGACAGAAGCAGGCTGCAAGTTCGGATCACGGTGCAAATTTCGCCATGACAAGGACTCCCTGGAGCGTGGAAGATGTTTTGAATGTGGGGCCATTGGCCATTTACAGCCGCAGTGTCCATACAAAGATGGTGTAAGTTCCAATGCGGACTTAAATCCTGAAAGGAATAGATCTAAAGGGAATTCTCCCAAAGGGGGAAAGGGCGGCAAAGGTGCGAAATGGGGAAATGCCAAAAAGGCAGAAGTGGCTGAAGTGGGAGATGAGATGGCTAATGCGGGATTGGATAAAGGTTCTGCAAGTCCCTCATCACCATCCACAACCAATCAGGTCCTTGCTGAAGCGTTGGAAGTGCTGAAATCTATGAAGCTGTCATCAGCGCAGTCAGCATCAAGCGGAGAGCCCAGCGTTCGAATGTTATGTGACTCTGGATTGTTTCAGCAGGACGGGAGAGTGGCGTTGGTGGATACAGCTGCTACGCATCTTGTGCGGACGCTTTTTCCATGGGAATGTTTACCCGACACTACTGTTATGGTGCAAAGCGCGCTTGGTGGTGTGACAATGAGGATTACAGAGAAAGGGACGTTGATTAGGGAAGACAATGGGCCCCTGATTATCCCTCTCTGGTTGATCTTGGAGTTTGGGGCGAACCTCACCGTGATCAATGGGATGTGTCACGTGAGTGCAAAATCTTCGCTGGACCAACTCTTATGGTTTGAACATGGCTGTTTGGTTATGGATTACAAAACAGCTGAGAAAATGGTTTTGCATGCTGAAAGGCAGCGTGCGTCGTTGTCCCATTCTCAATGGAGGAATGGAAGGGCGGACTGTGGAGTCGGTTCGTCTGATGCCACGTTGTTGCCGAAGCAGGGAGAAGGCCGAGGAGTATGCGTTCTACATGTGGCCAGGGTTTCTGACACCAATGAGTGTTCGGGAATGGGCATGTTGGACTCGGGAGCATCACATCCTCTCAGATCACTTCGTCCTGGTGAACAGCTTCCGCAGCAAAAGGTGTTGGTGTCTTTAGCTGTTGGATCTCGGGAGATGTGTATTACCCCAGGTGGGACCCTGGTAACTCCTGAAATGGTAGATCCACTAGTGCCAATTGGCAAAGCGAGCGCCTTGGTTGGTCTCAGAGTTCAGTGGCGTGGTGGCAAGTGCACAGCCTCACATCCTGTTCTGGGAGAACTTCGCGTTCGTGATCTGAATGGGTGCCCTTGTTTGGAAAAGGAGGTGGCGCTTCAGATCATTGATGAAATGGATTGGTGTTCACCAAAGCAAGCATTGAAGGTGGCACGTATGGTTCAAGGGTGTCCGAATACGGACAACGAGGTGGCTGTAAAAGCGTCGTTGCAAAGCGCAGCGCGGACAGCGTCAGCGAATGAGGAGGAGTTCGTCCAGGCATGCTGGCGGTTTCTTCGGTGGTATTATGGGGATATACCAGAAAATATGCTGATGGAGCTGTTGCCACGTGGAGATATTGCGGCGTTGCCTTTCAACCGTCATAAAAGGAGACGGCTGGCACGAGCAAAAAGGGTGGTGGTACACCTATTTTCGGGAAAACAAAAATGGCATTTTCCCAGTCGGGATGTGGAGGTACTGGAGCTGGATTTGAAGAAAGGCGGTGACCTACATAATTCGAGCGTCTGGAAGTATCTTCTGCATCTGGCGGCTGAAGGAAAGGTGGTTGCTGTGGTTGGAGGACCTCCATGCAGGACAGTGTCAAGGTTGAGAGGTGAAGACGGTGGTCCACCTGTATTACGCCGACGCTGTGGGCCTGAACGGTTGGGATTAAAGAGTCTTCCTTGGCCACATCAAGAATTAGCTCAAAAGGATGGTGTTTTACTTCTGAAGATGCTTTTCCTATATGACGTGGCGGTGCATTCAAGGTGTGGAACTGCTGAAGTCATCAATGGGAGTTCTGTC